TTCCTACCCCCCCTCTGCCCCGTCAACGTCCCCAAACTAGTGGACATCTATCCCCATGCCCCAACCTCTTCCCATTCCTGCTCCTCTCCCCGTGAACTCCCTCCCGTCAATTCCCTCCCCATCAACCTCCCACTCGTCAATTCCTCCCCGTCAACTCCCCTCCCCCGTCGACTCCCCCTCCCCTCTCCCTCCCCATCCCTCCCCTCCCCGTCAACTCCCCTCCCGTCAACTCCCCTCCCATCAACTCCCTCCCCGTCAACCCCCTCCCAGTCTCCCCTCCCATCAACTCCCCTCCCCGTCAACTCCCCTCAACTCCCTCCCCGTCAACTCCCCTCCCCTCAACTCCCCTCCCCACTCCCCTCCCATCAACTCCCCGTGCTCCCCTCCCCATCAACTCCCCTCCCCCGCCAACTCCCCTCCCGTCAACTCCCCCTCCCCCATCAACTCCCTTCCCCGTCAACTCCCCGTCAACTCCCCTCCCCCCCCTCCCCTCCCCTCCTCCCCCTCCCTCCCCATCACTCCCTCCCCGTCAACTCCCCTCCCCGTCAACTCCCACTCCCCTCCCCCGTCAACTCCCCTCCCCATCAACTCCCTCCCCGTCAACCCCCTCCCACTCCCTCCCATCACTCCCTCCCCATCAACTCCCCTCCCCATCAACTTCCCTCCCCGTCGCTCCCTCCCCCATCAACTCCTCCCCGTCAACTCCCCTCCCCCATCAACTCCCTCCCCATCAACTCCCCTCCTCCCCTTCTCCCCTCCTCCCCTCAACCGTCCCCCTTTTTTTTAACCATTCAGCATCATTGCCTTTTTCTGCAGGGGCGGAAAAAATTGCGGAGGGTCGAAATTTATGTTATAGTTCGTGTACCAAGTTGTTGTTGTGGTGGTGGTGGTAGTGTGTTGTTGTTGTTATTGTTGTTGTTGTTGTTGTTATTGTTGTTGTGGTGGTGGTGGTGGTGTGGTGTTGTTGTTGTTGTTGTGGTGGTGGTGGTGGGTAGTAGTGTTAGTTGTTGTTGTTGTTATTGTGGTGGTGGTGGTTGTTGTTGTTATTGTTGTTATTGTGGTGGTGGTGGTTGTTGTTGTGGTGGTGGTGGTGGTGGTAGTAGTTGTTGTTGTAGCAGTGTTAGTTGTTGTTGTTGTTGTTGTTGTTGTTATTGTTAAGGGTGTGCCGCCAGTTGACCAGGGCGGGAAGCTGTAGTTGATCTATAATGTAAAGAGATGACTGGGTGGTGGTGGTGAATCTCTGGTCACCGCCGCCACTACTGACTTGTCTTAACCTTCTCCCACCTGGTTAATGTCTTTCCGGGGTTAATGCCGAGGTCCATGCCTTTTTCTCCTCCTTGGTTAATGCTGGTTAGCGTTAAGCTCCATCACATGTCAGGTTAACAGAAAACTAACTGAATTTGGCGGGAAAACGGCTTTTGAAAATTTTTGGCGGTAAAATGACTGTTAGAAATTTAATAACTGAAAAATTCACGAGAAAAAAAAATAATTGACGAGGAGAAAGATTAATAAAACTGACGGTGGAAAAATATAGAACATAATAAATAGGAAAACCACAACCTAGGAATAATATGGCGGGAAAACTGCTACAAAAGAGAGAGATACGAGAATATGGCGGGAAAACTGCTACAAAAGAGAGAGATAAGGACAATATGGCTGGAAAATTGCTAGAAAACAGAATGGCTGGCAATCGCAGCATTCAGGAAGAACAAATGGATTTGGCGGTAGAGGCAGTGGTTTGGCGAAAATGATTGGGTTTGGCGGAAATAACTGAATTTGCAACAAGAGAGAGGAGAAAAAAAAATGGTGAAAATAGCAGGTTGTGGCGGGAACATCTGAATATGGCCAAATAACACTTTAAAGCGACAATATTCACCGCGGGAACCAGAAGGGATTCGTAAGTCAGTATTTTACAACGATATTTTATTTTGCGCGGGAAAACCAACATTCACCACCCTCCCCGCGCTCCCTCTATAAAGCTTCAGGTCGGCTGCTCAAAGATCGGGTAGAGTCGGTACGTTATTTTTATTAAGGGGGGGGAGGGGGGGTCTCTTCAGTTGTATATACACGTACGGTATCTTTCTCCCTCTTGCCTAAATGCCTGCCTCAATGATAGCATACTCAGAGATTCATATAAGTGTGTGTGTGTGTGTGTGTGTGTGTGTGTGTTTTAGTTCGTTTGTATGACATGTAGAGAGGAGTTGATGTCTCATTTCCTGGAGTTGGTGTCGTTATCATTATCATCATCATCAGAGTCAACTATCATCATCATAGTCATCATTATCATAGTCACCATCATCTAGGTGCGGTAATCGTCAGGCACATGTTATTTCAAGACCAAGTACGTAATGGGAAAGGTAAATGAGTGGGTGAAAAAAATCCAAGCTCTGTCTGATGTTGCTAAAACAGAGCCATAAGCTGCGTTTGTGGCATTCACCCATGGAGTCAAGCATCGCTGGAATTACCTGATGCTCACTATCCCTGATATCAGACCTCTACTCCACCCTCTGGAAGAAGCCATCAGGGACGGTTTTATCCCGACACGAGTGAAAAGCCAGTATTTAACCCCAGCATAAAGGTCACTCCTTGCACTACCACTGAGACTGGGAGGAATGGGATTGACTAATCCAGATAAGCTCTTTCAGACTCACGGCAGGCCTCACTGAGCACATAGCTCAGAATGCAGCAATTCAGGCGGATACCAACGAATCAAACAAGATTCGACGTTCCATTACGACAGAACGGCAGCACACCCAAAGTGATAAACTGAAACAACTGATGCGGCAATTGTCAGAGAACTTGAAAAAAAAGTAGCTATGACGCAGGAGGTGGGCGCCTCGAACTGACTAACAACGTTACCGATAAGGGCAAAGGTTTTAGCCTTAATAAACAAGAATTCACAGATGCCATTGATCTAAAGGTACGGTAGGCCAGTAGATGGTTTGCCCTCCCAATGCACCAACCACGCCATGGTGTGCAAGAAAGGGGGCTTCGTATGCATGAGGCATGACGAAGTAAGGGATCTCACAGCAAATATTCTTAAGAAAATCCTCCACGACGTCATGGTAGAACCGCCCCTCCTTCCATTGGACGGTGAGAACCTCCATCACAGAACTTCAAACACATCCAATAAAGCCCGTGTGGACGTCAGTGCTCGAGGATTCTGGACGCGGGGACAGCGAGCCTTCTTCGACATCCGGATTTTCGATACTATGGCCGCATGTCACCGTAACCTGTCTCTCGATGCTGCACACAAGAGGAACGAGAACGACAAGAACAGGGCGTATGGGAAGAGAATTAAAAATGTGGATCAGGGAAAATGTAAGATGCATCAACACAAGACTGGCCGAGGTGTTATGTGAAGAGAGGCAGCAGCCTAGAAGTTATGTTGCAGCCTGGTTAATCTGTCGACTGTCCTCTCTGGTTAGGTCAGCATTGCTTTGCCTCTGGGGAATAAGATCTTCGGCCCCAAAGCCAACAACATTTGCAGATAATTAATGACTATATAACAATGTCATGAGTTTCCCGCCACCCGGGAGTTCCCGCCAATTTCGAGCCAATAGTGTGAAGGCCTTATGCCTGTTTTCGACCAATGAGAAAGCCTATGAGGCGTGACGTCATGAAAGTTGTGACGTCTCTTGTAGGCTGACGCAGTTTGAGGGGAGTCTGTGTTGGAATATTGTGTAGGGAGGTGTGGGACGTCTGTGGTGGCGACATGGCAGGTATTTGGGTGTATTCTATTTGGTAAATCCTTAAGTTCCCATTTGTTGTGAGATACGTGGTCCCGTTTAACTAACTGGGAACATAGGTTTATTATTTGAAGTGTAACTGTTAAACCCTAACATAAATTATTCAATAAATACAGTAACCGTTAATAAGAGTCCTAATTCCTCCCTCCCTTATTAAGAAAGAGTGATGTGTTATAAATATCTTGGTATTATACAGTAATACGGTGAGTCATATATACAATAACTATCCTATATTTCCCCTCTCTTAAGATTGTATCGTAGTCCTCCTAACCAGTCTCCCCGAGTCTCCCCTTGGTGTAGGCCTCTCTAGCCTAACCACAAACTGTTACTCCTGTACTCCCTCTCCCCAAACGTAAACAATTACCTCCCTCACCCTCTCCACCTCTCACGAGTAAAAAGAATAAGTATATAAATAAATAAGTAAATAAATATAAAGAATTACAAAGATAATGAAAGAGTAAGTTGGTACATAAAATATGTTACATTCACTATAGGGACATATAATATAGGGACATATAATATAGGGACATATAATATAGGGACATATAATATAGGGACATATAATATAGGGACATATAATATAGGGACATATATTCATTAATTGTTACAACTATGAGGCAGCTGTCACTGAATGGCTCAACTAACTCAACACAGCTAGAGTAGTTACTTTTGTATTAGGATATTTAATATTAAGGTAATAAAATGGTGGCAAAGGTGTGGCTATTGGGGGAGGCTGGAGGCCACGTACTAAAAAAAGTAGTAGTAGTAGTAGTAGTAGTAGTAGTAGTAGTAGTAGTAGTAGTAGTAGTACCACCCTCTTATTCTTCATATGTCCCTCACTGGGTGTGGTATACTTCACACTGGTCCATCCTCTAACAGTGTCACACTAATCCTGTTAAGTTAATCCGTGACCCATTTCATTTAAAATTCTTAGGTTAGATTTACTCCAGCTGGTGATGGAAGAAGGTATTTTACTCCTCCATAAGCTACGATACACCCTAGGATTCTCAAACGAGTCTTAAGTTGGATGTCACAACTCTCCTGCTAAGTGGGATCATATATTATTGTCTCACTTGAGCTACCAGAATGACATCGTCAATGTACCGAGACTCTACCCTATTGTCTCCATCCTCAGGTACGGTGACAAAAAGACTCCGGGTATGACTGTGTGAGTTATGGTGCAGACTGTGTGGCTCCGGGAGTCTTACGAGTATTAGTGACGGTTAGTGGTTCATCTGTACATAGTGCCAGATGGGACAGTGTACACAGTGCCAGGCTGGGACACAGTGTACACAGTGCCAGGCTGGGAGAGTGTACACAGTGCCAGGCTGGGACACAGTGTACACAGTGCCAGGCTGGGACAGTGTACACAGTGCCAGACTGGGAGAGTGTACACAGTGCCAGGCTGGGAGAGTGTACACAGTGCCAGGCTGGGACAGTGTACACAGTGCCAGGCTGGGAGAGTGTACACAGTGCCAGGCTGGGACAGTGTACACAGTGCCAGGCTGGGACAGTGTACACAGCGCCAGGCTGGGACAGTGTACACAGTGCCAGGCTGGGACAGTGTACACAGCGCCAGGCTGGGACAGTGTACACAGTGCCAGGCTGGGACAGTGTACACAGTGCCAGGCTGGGACACAGTATACACAGTGCCAGGCTGGGAGATTGTACACAGTGCCAGGCTGGGACACAGTGTACACAGTGCCAGACTGGGAAAGTGTACACAGTGCCAGGCTGGGACAGTGTACACAGTGCCAGGCTGGGACAGTGTACACAGCGCCAGGCTGGGAGAGTGTACACAGTGCCAGGCTGGGAGAGTGTACACAGTGCCAGGCTGGGACAGTGTACACAGTGCCAGGCTGGGACACAGTGTACACACTGGGCACAGTGCCAGGCTGGGACACAGTGTACACAGTGCCAGACTGGGAGAGTGTACAGTGCCAGGCTGGGAGAGTGTACACAGTGCCAGGCTGGGACAGTGTACACAGTGCCAGGCTGGGACAGTGTGTACACAGTGCCAGGCTGGGACAGTGTACACAGGCTGGGACAGTACACAGTGCCAGGCTGGGACAGTGTACACAGTGCCAGGCTGGGACAGTACACAGTGCCAGTGGGACAGTGTACACAGTGCCAGGCTGGGAGAGTGTACACAGTGCCAGGCTGGGACAGTGTACACAGTGCCAGGCTGGGACAGTGTACACAGCGCCAGGCTGGGAGAGTGTACACAGTGCCAGGCTGGGACAGTGTACACAGCGCCAGGCTGGGACAGTGTACACAGTGCCAGGCTGGGACACAGTATACACAGTGCCAGGCTGGGAGATTGTACACAGTGCCAGGCTGGGACACAGTGTACACAGTGCCAGACTGGGAGAGTGTACACAGTGCCAGGCTGGGACAGTGTACACAGTGCCAGGCTGGGACAGTGTACACACTGCCAGGCTGGGACAGTGTACACAGTGCCAGACTGGGACAGTGTACACAGCGCCAGGCTGGGAGAGTGTACACAGTGCCAGGCTGGGACAGTGTACACAGTGCCAGGCTGGGACACAGTGTACACAGTGCCAGGCTGGGACACAGTGTACACAGTGCCAGGCTGGGACAGTGTACACAGTGCCAGGCTGGGACAGTGTACACAGTGCCAGGCTGGGACAGTGTACACAGTGCCAGGCTGGGACAGTGTACACTGTGCCAGGCTGGGACAGTGTACACAGTGCCAGGCAAGGACACAGTGTACACAGTGCCAGGCTGGGACAGGCTGGGAGGGAGGGAGGGAACACCAGTGGTCACCACAAGGCCGCGGCGGCTGTGTCAACGTTAATATCAGCTAAACTTGAACACAAACTCAAACCTCATAATATTTTTAAAGCTTGACTTCGACTTAACTCGATCCGCCTCGACAGTCAAAGAGATGAAATATGTTTTGCTCTTCTAAATAAAAAAAACATGGTGGGTCGGGTGGTCTATAAAATACTTCCTACTTTTATTTTGGCTTTTATTTTATGTTTTTATTTATCCCGCCATGCGTTACTAACAGGAAGAGGAATGTAATAACTTTGTTTAGTCATACGATCTGTGGCTGTATATCAAATAGCGACACTTTTATGAAGGAACTCAATAGACTAGAGCGTTTGAGTTCGTGTGTGTGTGTGTGTGTGTGTGTGTGTGTGTGTGTGTGTGTGTGTGTGTGTGTGTGTGTGTGTTTTTGTTGTAGTGTAGTGTAGTGTTTACCCAGTTCACCGCTATCAACAAAACTTATCTTATGTAACACGACAAAGAACTTTTTTCCTGTGTGTTTATTTCCAGTTAGAGCGAGAGGATAACATTCTAAAGATAACATTCTAAGGATAACATTCTAAAGATAACATTCTAAAGATAACGTTCTAAAGATAACGTTCTAAAGATAACATTCTAAAGATAACGTTCTAAAGATAACATTCTAAAGATAACATTCTAAAGATAACATTCTAAAGATAACATTCTAAAGATAACATTCTAAAGATAACATTCTAAGGATAACATTCTAAAGATAACGTTCTAAAGATAACATTCTAAAGATAACATTCTAAGGATAACATTCTAAAGATAACATTCTAAGGATAACATTCTAAAGATAACATTCTTACACACCATAACACTACGCCCTCACCAAGGTTCAGAGTCACTGAGGTTCATATGGAATAACATATCTCTTGGCTTAAGCTGTCAGAACGAACCCAATTGGTTGACTTAACCCTTTGAGTTCGAGAGGGTTAAATCATCGTCCTCAAAGGGTTAAATCGTTGGTTTCAAAGGGTTAAATCATCGTCTTCAAAGGGTTAAATCGTTTTCCTCAAAGGGTTAAATCGTTGGTCTCAATGGGTTAAATCATCGTCTTCAAAGGGTTAAATCGTTGTCCTTAAAGGGTTAAATCGTCGTCCTCAAAGGGTTAAATAATATTCAAAGGGTTAAAATATTGTCCTCAAGGGGTAAAATCATCACGAAAGGGTTAAATATTCATCAAAAACGTTGAATCGTCGTCCTCACAGGGTTAAATCATCGTCCTCAAAGGATTAAATCATCATACTCAAAGGGTTAAACCATCGTCCTGAAAGGGTTAAACTATCGTCTTCAGAGGGTTAAACCATCGTCTTCAAAGGGTTAAACCATCGTCTTCAGAGGGTTAAACCATCGTCTTCAGAGGGTTAAACCATCGTCTTCAGAGGGTTAAACCATCGTCTTCAGAGGGTTAAACCATCGTCTTCAGAGGGTTAAACCATCGTCTTCAGAGGGTTACACCATCGTCCTCAAAGGGTTAAACCATCGTTCTGGTCCACCGTCCTCAAAGGGTTAAACCACCGTCCTCAAAGGGTTAAACCACCGTCCTCAAAGGGTTAAACCATCGTCTTCAGAGGGTTAAATCGTAAATTTTGCAAAGTACTCGTAACTTTAACGTCGTCTAATGTTAAATAAATTTGTATGTTGACAATGTATATTTTTGTCAACTTACCTAATGATTTGTAGTTTTAGCTTATGTTGTTAATGTTCCCCGACCATAACAAACTACTGTACACTCGTTACGTGAAATAAATAATGTTGGTGATGCAATTTATTTCTATTAAATCCACTTAACAATGTGGATTTTTCTCGACAGCTGTGTGGATAATGTTACCTTTATACAGGTAAATGTAATTAAAGTTTAGTTGTTGACGGTATGTTGTTAGATGAATGTTGAGGGTAATGTGGATATTATTAAGTTTCTCCACCTCTAAAGTTTCTCCAACAGTAAAAGTTTCTCCACCTCTAAAGTTTCTCCAAGAGTAAAAGTTTCTCCACCTCTAAAGTTTCTCCAACAGTAAAAGTTTCTCCACCTCTAAAGTTTCTCCAACAGTAAAAGTTTCTCCACCTCTAAAGTTTCTCCACCTCTAAAGTTTCTCCAACAGTAAAAGTTTCTCCACCTATAAAGTTTCTCCAACAATAAAACATCTCCACCTTGAAAGTTAAGTGCCCGTTCTCTCTTTCCTGCCATTGTATTTTTTTCTCACTCACTCACTCACTCACCCACCCACTCACCCACCCACCCACTCACCCACCCACTAACTCGCCTGCCTTAAAGATAGTGTATATAAAACTCCTACTCTACGGGCTGTGATATCCAGATTTAAATAACAGACAGAGATAATGATTGTTTGTTAATAATAATAATAATAATAATAATAATAATAATAATAATAATAATAAAAGCAGATTCTCAAAGTTTGGTGCGATCAATACTTCTCGTACCTGATAATTTGCTGATGTTCCAAACTTTTTAATACTAAGGTTGAACGTTTCTAATTAAGGTAGAGTCTCAGTGTAGTATAGTCTCTTAACGGGTACTAAGTGAACGAGTTTGGTTAAGGTAGAGTCTCAGTGTAGTATAGTCTCTTAACGGGTACTAAGTGAACGAGTTTGGTTAAGGTAGAGTCTCAGTGTAGTATAGTCTCTTAACGGGTACTAAGTGAACGAGTTTGGTTAAGGTAGAGTCTCAGTGTAATATAGTCTCTTAACGGGTACTAAGTGAACGAGTTTGGTTAAGGTAGAGTCTCAGTGTAGTATAGTCTCTTAACGGGTACTAAGTGAACGAGTTTGGTTAAGGTAGAGTCTCAGTGTAATATAGTCTCTTAACGGGTACTAAGTGAACGAGTTTGGTTAAGGTAGAGTCTCAGTGTAGTATATAGTCTCTTAACGGTGAATTAAGTACTAAGTCTCTTAACGGGTACTAAGTGAACGAGTTTGGTTAAGGTAGAGTCTCAGTGTAGTATAGTCTCTTAACGGGTACTAAGTGAACGAGTTTGGTTAAGGTAGAGTCTCAGTGTAATATAGTCTCTTAACGGGTACTAAGTGAACGAGTTTGGTTAAGGTAGAGTCTCAGTGTAATATAGTCTCTTAACGGGTACTAAGTGAACGAGTTTGGTTAAGGTAGAGTCTCAGTGTAATATAGTCTCTTAACGGGTACTAAGTGAACGAGTTTGGTTAAGGTAGAGTCTCAGTGTAATATAGTCTCTTAACGGGTACTAAGTGAACGAGTTTGGTTAAGGTAGAGTCTCAGTGTAGTATAGTCTCTTAACGGGTACTAAGTGAACGAGTTTGGTTAAGGTAGAGTCTCAGTGTAGTATGGTCTCCTAAAGCTGCGTTTACAGTGGGCGTTTTCCCTCGACGATTCAGGCTGGGCAAGCGTTCAATCCAGCCACAACACAGTTCATCCTAGACTGAACCGCTGGCCTCCCTTGCTGTTGAGTTTAGCGTCGGGTGAGGCGTTTATCTCATACTAAACCAATGGTCAAACGAGTATTTCATTATTCACTATAGCACTGACAAATATTTCCACTGTATACATATATTATTAGACTGACTATCACGCACACTCACGAAATTTTCCAGTTCAACCAAAAAATAGGTTGACGACAATACTGGCAGCATATGATCTCATTTGACCCCCCCGATTCAGGGATGAAAATAAACACGTTACGCGCTTCCCAAGACACAAGAGAAGAACTGAAGGAGACACCACACAATCATGGCCTCATCCAGCTCATTTCCGTAGATAGATATATAGATAGATAGATAGGTAACCCAAGTAGCTTATGAAATCGAAGCCTTTACAATGCTCTATGAAGCCTCAACCTGGTCTCAGTAAGTTGCTAAATCCACAGGTGTGTTGACGGGTGTTTTGACGGGTGTGTTGGCCTGTGTGTTGACAGGTGTGTTGACGGGTGTGTTGACAAGTGAGCGGCAGTAGTGACGGTAACAAATACAGGGTGTCTCAAAAATGTGTATACAGGGCGTCTCAAAAATGAGTATTCAGGGCGTCTCAAAAATGTGTATACAGGGCGTCTCAAAAATGTGTATACAGGGTGTCTCAAAAATATGTATACAGGGTGTCTCAAAAACAATTATGTCTATACACTGCCATTCCCTTAAACAGTATGTATACAGTGAAACCTCCATATAGCGGACATCTCTCTCCATATAATCCGTTAAAAGGGGTTTTACATCTAACGGACGATCGATATAACGGATTTTCATCTCTATATAGTCCGCCGGATGGAGGGTTCACTTGTAACGGACCCTCGATATAGCGGACTTTCCTCTCCATATCGTCCGTTAAATGGAGGGTTCACTGTATAGAAGCAATTTTATCATTGTAAACTGACTGTATATTTCAGTGTAAGTTTTTAATGTACACTGACTGGAGGAATGACAGTTTAATTTTCAATGTAGAATGTTATTAACAGTTTCTCTTGTCATGGTCTGACAGGTGTATGTTTACATTATAATAATAAACATCTATATTAATACACCTGTGCCAGTTAAAATATTTCTTTATAAACATTACTACCGATAAACATTTATAGTAAACATCAACATCACTAAACATTATCACTGTCTTAACCCTTTCACAGTGATTCAGCTTAGGGTAACAAAAGGGTTAACCATGAGGCTTTATCATTATTTATAGCTTCAAACATTACCCGTAATAAACATTGATAAACATCACGATTATGAACTATTCTATACTTGACCATCGGTAAATATTTATAAACATTGTTTCTTGTACATGTATGAACGTCATGATTCATTACTTAGACATTTATAAGCTGACGACTAATAAACATTCCTTAACATCGCTGTTAAGGTATTTTTTTACAAGTTACCAATAATGTCCCACAGTATTCTTGGGTCCAGGTCTACGTATATCTCGTCATTTCTAACAACTTTTCTTTGTAATGTTTCCATCACAAATGATTCGTTTTCGAGGAAATCGCATTAGTTTGTTAGATTAACTTGTAAAAATTTACCGTTATTACTAAACATCTTTACCAAACCATACTCACCGTCTAGGCCATTGGCAA